TTTTTTTTTTTTTTTTTTTTTTTTTTTTTTTTTTTTTTTTTTTTTTTTGAATATATTGATTTTTTTAATGTAAACTATAATCAAAAGCAAACAAATTATACATGTTAAAACCTTTTTAACTGGAATAAGCTTCCGCTATATATTAATTATGAGCTCGGAGTTAAAAACCAAAAAAATAAAAACATGCCTCAATTTTATATGCGAACAACCAATGAAAAACTCCCCAAATTATTTAACGAATATCGAAATTAATTTTATTACAAATTATTCAAGTCCCCATTGAGCTGTGAATAATATTTTGGCAAACAGTGTTGAGTGCTTGAACAGCTGATCTGAAGACATCACACGCTGTCACGCATAGAGCAAGAAATTTGATAAATATGAGCAACCAACCTAATTTGGAAGGAATATTCGGCGCTCGATTCCAGCGGTTAGTAGCACTCAAGCAATCGTTGCGTTGTCAACAAATAGAAAAGCGTTAACGGCAATGAATTTGGAGGTGAATAGAATATATTTTGGGTAAATCACCTACATTAAAAAGAAAGAAAAAAAAAAAAACAGTTTATTAGTGCAAGTGTTATATATACTTTTTTTTTGGCTAAGCTCTGATAATTCGGTCGTGACGTGATTAAGTTTGGAGCTCTCGGGCTTTGACAGTCAAGCGTCTTAATGAGTGAACAACAATTACGGCAGCGTGCGACAATCTGAAGTCTATGCAAATTAGCTTACTTGCTGGCAACTTCATTTGAGTTCGTTACGTATGCGGGCGAGAGCAACGGTGTGCCCAAGGAGACGGCTTCAACTTATGCCAAAGGACAACAGCGGCAACAACAAGTGCAGCCGACAATGGCAAACAACGCCCACTTGGCTTATAAATGATGTGACCGAAATGGGACCTCAGCTAAAACAGCAACAACAACAACTTGGTTCCGTTCTAAGGCGGCGCACACACACACACTCAAGAGTCCAGCGAGGTTGCTGCTGTTGCTTGTTGCTGTCAATCAAGACGTGCAACATTTTTAGCATAAACACAAAGTGACTTTCTTGTTGTTGTTGTTGTTGTTGTTGCTGCTGCTGTTATTGTTGCTGCACAAGCTGGTGTTGTCAAACTTTGCTGTTGTTGCTGCTGTGTGTTGTCGTGTAATTGCTGTTACGCTTTGCCAAGTTATTAAGTGAGTTTGTTGCCGTTGATGCTTCAGCTTCTGCTTCTGCTTCTGCTTGTGCTTGTGCTGCTGCTGCTGCTTCTGTTGCTGTTGCAACATAATCTTCTGATTATGACAAGTTGCTTGAATTTTGCTGCTGTCTTAAGCGTAACGCAAATTACACTTGATAACTTTGCGCAGGGCGTGCAAGTGTGGTGTGTGTGTGTGTGAATGAGTGAACGTTGCCCACATTCAAGCTATCCCAAGTTGAAAGGAAATTAATTTAAGCATTTGTGCGGTATATGCAGCACGCTGCCTGCTGCCTGCTGCACGCTGCACTTGAGCCTGCCAATTTGCAACGGGCATCCATGGAATGCAACACTTTCGGGCAACTGTTGCACTTCGTCGGCAAGTGGGACCCCATTACCGTAGACACCTAATTACCGTTAATTATAAATTGAACGGGAAACGCACATTAATTTATAAAACTGACACACGCAAATATCTCACCTGTCAAGTGTCAAATGCCACATACATATGTATGACTTATTTCAATCAGTGTATAATCTGCAGAGGCAGTTGAGTTATTGAGATAGGCTTGCCATGTTGAATTTAAAAGCATTCTATGATAACAATAGATATATAGATAGTTAGATATATAGATAGCTGGATGGACAGGTAGATAGATAGATAGACAGATAGATAGATAAATAGATAGATAGATAGTTAGATATATAGATAGCTAGATGGATAGATAGTTAGAGAGATAGAGAGATACATAGATATATAGATAGATAGATAGACAGATAGATAGACAGATAGATAGACAGATAGATAGATAGATAGATAGATAGATAGA